GTGGCAATGATTCGAATTTCTTCACGCAACACTTCCACTCAAAAGACATAAACACAGAGTAACTCACTTTTAGGCAATCATAAATTGCCGAAAAATGGAAAAATAATGTGTTATAATTCCACTAACATGGACATTTTCATTCGCACACATGTCAATAATATTTTGTCCATCTTATTCCAATACAGTTATTTATGAATTTAAGCGTAGCCAAGTAACATTAAAATGAAACAAAAGCAGACATGGGATGCTTTCACCCTATTTCGTTTTAGGTGATGAAGGACGGGAAGTTGACTTTTCCCACAAGTATACAAGTAAAGCTGACGCTGCTATTGGCTTTCACAGGGCCTTGCTTTACCAAAACGTGCTCTCATCCAGGGTGGACTGCAGTTTAGACCTCGCGGGACTCGAAACATGACACATTGCCACGAGTGCCCTTGTATCACAGGACGGAATTTCAGAGAATGCCAGGCATTTTCCCAAATCACACTCTTTGTTGGGGTCGTTGAATAAGCGAATTTATATCACCATAACATCCGACTCCCAACATTATATCATATAACTGATTTACTGGTAGTGTTGTGACCCTAGTTACAAAACGAAAAAGACTAGAGCATGTTTATTTACGAGATATTTTAATAATAATTTTAATCATGCTTAGTTTACAGTGTTCGATTAAAGTATACACAATCGCGGAAAGTTATGTGGTGCAGATAAATAGTGGACTTCATATCCTGATGGAAGAACATATTCTCAGAACATTGAACTTTGGAAAGGATGGATAGGCCAAAATGTCTTATCAAGATCGACAATAGAACATCGTGATAAGCAGAAATCCTTTTAGAAATATAGGCAGTTGCTGTGGTGAATCATAACTTTCTCGGCTTGAGTAACACACAATTTACTTGTGAATGAAAGGCATCGTCAGTTACGGTGCATTTGACACTTTCCGATAGAATGCTGAATTCAATCGGGTTTTCTACGTAAAAATGTGCCATAAGGACGAATCAATTTGAGTATTAGAATAGATTGGAATAGTTTTGGGAACTTACACTATTAAAAAGCTAAGTCGCCCGGCGTAAATTGCTTGTGTATACTTACATTATTGTTGAGCTTACTTCCATTTCGAGTGGAAGCGTCGCGTGAAGAGATTCCAAGGTCGGTTCATCTTGACCAGCTGTCGAATGGCTTTACTCGAACATTCATGCTGACGCTGTTTCCTTCGATTCCGGTGAAAAGGTGCTAAGTTTTCATCCGTCAGAGCAAGGTACCATCGTGACAACCAAATTCGAGCTAACAAGTCAAGAAAACTCACCGGTAAATCCCTAAATAGTGGTATACATACTCTACATCTGGCCTCTTTGATCAAGTAGAAAGTGATTCGGTTAGTTAAGGTCATAGGTCAACTTCGATGCATGTGAGTGTGTATGTATGTATGTTTTTGATTTTTTTAGAAAATTCATAAACCACTTTTTAGGGATTTGAGTAGAGTGAGTTTTCTTGACTCGCTAGCTTCATTTTTGTTGTGACGATGATACCTTCGCCTGATGATGTCCGTCATATGACGGACGAAAGCTTGACACATTTTCACCGGAATCGAAAGAGATTGCCTCGGAAACAGCGTCATCATGAATCTGCCAGTCGTCTTCTGGTGGAACCGACCTTCGAATCTCTTCACGCAACACTTCCGCTCGAAATGGAAGTAAGCTGAACAAGTATGAAACAAGAGAATCCTCGAAACCCAACTTTTCTTCGCATATGTTTTGTTAATTGTCTACTGCGTGTATGTAATGTTCATGTCATGGGAAGTGTGATAGTCCTAGCTAGACTTGAGGCTAATCCAGCCTCTTTTTCTTTTATTGTGGCTCTTCCTGCGTCTTCCATACGTCAACTTCGATGCATGTGAGTGTGTATGTATGTATGTATATTTTTGATTTTTTGAGAAAATTCATAAACCACTTTTTAGGAATTTGAGTAGAGTGAGTTTTCTTGACTCGTTAGCTTCAATTTTGTTGTGACGATGATACCTTCGTCTGATGATGTCCGTCATATGACGCACATTTTCACCTGAATAGAAAGAGATTGCCTCGGAAACAGCGTCATCATGAATCTGCCAGTCGTCTTCTGGTGGAACCGACCTTCGAATCTCTTCACGCAATACTTCCGCTCGAAATGGAAGTAAGCTGAACAATTATGAAACAAGAGATTCCTCGAAACCCAACTTTTCTTCGTATACTTACATTATATTTTAAATCTGTAAGTTTTCGAGACTATCACCAGATCTCGATGTAGCAATTTAGTCAACTAATGTCACTTAAAGGAATGTAGGATTCGCAATGAATTTTCCCAAAAGCTAATATATCCCAGAGTGGACTGCCATTTTGACCTCGTCTAGGTCTCATCGGCTCTTCCAACGGCATGTTAACG